TCCCCCTGCAGTGCACCTTTCTTTAGGATGCTTCTTTAGTACTCTCAACGTGTAGTCTTGACATCATGGGAAAAAGAGCTACTGAAACCACAGTGGGAACAAACAGCACGTGCATCATATTTCTGTGATGCCTGGATCCACACAGTGGTATGATAAGCTAGGAAAGGAGTTCTGTTTAAAAGGTTAGAGTAGTATTTTATGTTTTAATAAACCAAATTGTGCCAGTTTTGGAATCAGCGAGTTTTAGTCTACATTTTAGATAATAAAGGGGAAACTGTTCTTATGTTGCCAGTGTCTGAAGCATAAAAACATACGAGAAATCAGACAGATTTGTTGCCAAGCATGTGGCGTTCTATTCACTTATAGGAAAAAAAAGGTGTTTCTTATTTTTGTTTATTACAGTGTCATTTGAGCAATAGCGCTAATTTCAGATTCACAGAGTGCGTCGCATGATCGGAGGGTAACAGGTTTTAACCGACGTGCCTCGAGCAGAAGATAAGTGAGGAGGGGAACGAGCAAGTGCTTTATAGGGGGAGAGGGAGGGTAGGAGGGAGTGAGGACAAGCGGGTAGGAGGCTTGGAGAGGGAGAGCGAGAGAGAGAGCGGGTGGGCGCTGTGAAATCCGTTAACAGGGGAGCTCTGTGCATTTGTTAGACGTCTTGGCTGCTTGCCCAACTTGGCTCATTGTAATCAAGGCATGATCGTCGACTCCAGCCAGCCCTCTCTGCCGCCACGGCTGCCTTGCGCCTGGACCCAGCCCAGCTCCCAGCGCTGACATGGAAAGACCAGTGAGTGCCTTCTCTCTTCTTCCCCCTCGCTCTCCCTCTCTTTTTTTAGTATTAGGTTCCCCCTCGTTTCCTCTTCTGCTCTGTCGCAGTTTCAGCTGTCTCTGGCTCTTTCTCTCCCCTGCTGTCGCTCCCGTAGGTGGCAGGATCGCCGGGTAGGAGGTGGTGTGTGGGTGTGTGTGTGTGTGGGGGGGAGCCTTGGCAGCTTTCTCCCTACAGGCTGCTTCCTCCCCCTTTTGCCCGTCTGTCCGGGCATGGATGCCATCCGCTGGCAGGGTCTGTGTGCCGTTTGATCGCGTGAGGGTGTTAGCTGTGCTGCTGCACTGTCACAGGTCTCCAGGAGCCAGAGGTTTGCCATTTCTGCAAAGATTCTCCCCACTTTTTGGTTCGTTGAAGCGGGCGTTTGCTTCACTCTCCGCCATTGGCCTCCCTGAGAATCGGAGTCGACAGCGAGTTTCTCTGTTGCGCCTATTCTTGGTGGTATGTCCTCATGGTCTGTTGTGTTTGGGTACCCTGACAACTAAGAGCAGTGAGGTAACCACTTTCCAGCCTGTTCGCCCCTTTGAATGACTCCAAACTTTTTTCACAACCGCTGAGCTTTTTGCAGCTTCCCAGACGATTTCAGGATATGTAGTTGCCGTCATTTTGCAAAAAATCAGACCGATTTGAGAGCTCAGTGTGAATTCAACTATTCAGCATCCCAGTGGCAGCCATTCCTTGCAGTGATGGAAAAAAAAACATGAATAGATTCCTTGCGGTCCTCATAGTGAGTCATCGTTATGTGCTAGAAACCTTGACTTGTATGTCGTCAGTGAAGCAACAGTGGAGGATGACTGACTCACTTTGGCACATCTACGTCCTATACATGTCAGGATGGTCTGACCCCTCAGAGTCACTTATGCAGAGAGTGGAGAACAGGACACTTCAAAATGAATTATGTTTTCCTCACAGATGCAAACAAGCAGAAGTGGCAAATTCTCTATTTGCCGGCGTTACTGTCACTTCTCCAGAGCTGTGAATAACAACAGATGATGCCGACAGTGATTCAAAGAGGGAGACACATAGCTGATTGATTTGACAGTGAATGTTGTTCATTCAGATTTAATCCCGTACTGCTGTTTATGTTTGAATTCTTTCTAAGAAGAAAAATGGTGTTGGCTTGCTATAAGAGAAGAAGTACTGATAATTGAAATAGTCTTGAAATGACAAGTCTGCTCTATTTTAGCTTTGGCACATATTCTATTCTATTCTATTCTATTCTATTCTATTATATTCTATTCTATTCTATTCTATTCTATATTTGTGTATCACATCAGCCACACTCAAACTTGTGCAGGACTTTATTGTGTCTTTTATTTTCAATTAAGCCACGGTTTACAAAATCAACACAATGTTGTGCTACATAAGAGTTTAAGCAAGCAATTGTAACAACAAACTCATATTTGTGACCTACATTTAGGTCATAAATAAATGGATTATTTGGAACATTTTCTCACAGACTTCTATATAATTTGCCTGATTTTGGAATCGTCCCCCCAGTGGCGATGAGAAAGATTGCACTTTGCTTTTATCAGCTTCTGAAGCTATATCCTTGAATTACTGTTTGCTTTAAAGAAGGTAGTATAGCCTCTTTTAGCCGCTGGGCTCCAGAGGAGTGCTCCTGTTTCACCAGTTTTCTGAGCCACACTTTGGACCCGGGAGTAAGGGAGGGAGGGAACAGGAGGCTAAGCTGCTGCAGGTTAAAGGAAATTAGCTCTTTTTCATGCAGAAATCTGATGCTTCACTGTCCCTGCTCTGTGAACATCTGTGCACATTTAAGAGTCCTTTAACTTAATGCCTGCCCTTGCTTTTACAGTTACAGTTGGTATAATATGATAAAGTGAGGTTCTCTCTGAAGGAAGCAGGCTGTTTGAGAGCACATGGAGCACATTTTCAGTATGGAGCCTCTATTTGTGCCCTGCTGATTGCATTGGGGTATTTAAATTTGGTCTGCATATGCATTCAGCTCGTGTAACTGAGCTTCATGATGAATGCTCCATCTGTGGTGGGTGTGAGGATCTATCAGTGTTATTAGTGTGTTATTAGTGTGCACACTGCTGCACACTGATGTACACAGGTGCCTTTTTAAAATAATTGTCAGTCCAGCTGATCAGCTGATGGTTACTTCACCTGTCAGCCTTGGTTTCTCCTCTGCTTGTAAGCAGGTTTTATATTGTTGCAGTTGCTTATTTAAATGTCATTGTAATTATGGTCAAACTCACAATATATACAGAAACACAAGAATAGAGCTGAGTGCTGAATGTAGGCATTTTGTTCTTTATTGATAAATGTGTCTAGAACAATAATATCAAATTCTTTACACTGCTAAAGCAGGTGTGTATGGTTTGGTTTGTAATCTTATTTGCTCATTGCTTAGTATAGATCAGTTGTAACAAAAGTTTTTCATTTCTAGACTATTGTTTGCGGTGCAAATTAAATTTGTTAAGTAATGAAAGTGTTTCACACACACCAAAAAACAGCTTGTTATAAACAGTGATGATTCTCCAGGGCTCTGCAGTAAAGTGGTCCAAGTGATAAAAGGCATGTAGGCAGTTAAAATAGAGTCAAGAGAGTTTATGGAGGTCTCAATGGAGTCCTTTGAAACTTGTACGACAGTATTTCAGTTAGAGGTCTGGACATTGCTACAACACCTTGGTTCTTTTAATTTTTTCAGCCATTCTGTGGTAGATTTGCTGCTGTCTTGTTGCATGAGCTTTATACCTTTATCTATCAGACAGATGACCTCACATTTGACTCTAGAATTCCTTGGTATATAGAGGAGCTCGTGGACTTCAAGGTGTCCAGGTTTTATAGATGAAAAACAGGCCGAAGACATCAGCCCTCCACCACCGTACTTGACAGTTGCCATGAGGTCCTGGTGTGCTGGTACGTGCAGTTTTGTATTATGGCCAAACATCTCCACACTAATCTTCCCTGTCCAAAAGACATTGTTTCAGAGGTCTTGTGGTTTGTTCAGATGTAGCTTTGCAAAGCTAAGCTTTGCTGCCATGTTCTTTTAGAGAAAAGATGGCTTTCTCCTCTGTACTGTCACAAACTTTAACTTTTAACATGTTAACTGAAGCCTGGTATTTTTTCTGAGCATTGTATAGTTTGAGCTTGAGGTGATCCATACCAGCTAACGGCCAAAAACCCTCTGCTTCTATAGAGGTGGACACATTTGGTGATGTTCTTTTTAATCTAGTGCATTTGATTGGCAGCAGCTGGATTCTACTTGTAATTTGTGGGGAAGCAGTAAGTGTTCTTTTTCACACAGCTGTGTTTGGAAAATAAGAAACCTTTCACTGTCAAAATGACTGCAATTTGTCTCCTAGGTTCCCACACAAATGTTTAAAGAAGAAGTGATGCAACAAAGTGGTAACATTACTCCAGTCCTAAAAGAATTGTGAAACCTGTTGGATGCATGAACTTCAACATGAGACTGGGTTATTTCTGAGCTTGTGCCATATCCTGTTTGTTTTATTTCCAGTGAACAGTAGGGTTCAGATCATTTCATTCTGTTTTATTTAAATTTCACACGGCACCCCACCTGTGAGAAAACCAGGTTTAATGAAGCCATAGAAGCCTCAAAATAAGATCAATCTGATGAAATGTAAATGTTTTTATTTTTCTAATGAATACCTATAAATGTCTCATCCCAGACCTCCAGTGACATGATGCCTAAGAGGGATCATGAGAAGGACCTGGAGCTGGACAAGAAGATTGAGGCTCTCCGCAGGAAGAATGAAGCTCTCATGAAGAGGTACAAGGTGAGAAGAAGCCTTCACATATAGAAAAGCTTCTGAGGTTTTATGTGTGGAGCTTGCAACTCTTTCAGGTTTCCTAATTACTTTATTGTTTGTAGGAGGTAGAGGAGGACAGGAAAAGAGCAGAAGAGGAAGGAATGGCACTGCAGAGCCGGAAGGGCAAAGCCGACGATCTTACCATCACAATCAGCAAGTCCGCTAGTGTGAGTGTCAGCAAAAATAATGATAATAATAATTTTATCTTTAATTCAAAATCCCAACACGTCTCAGTTTTACTACCTGAATAAGAAATGCTGCTCTATTTAATAAAGGAAATCTGTCAGCTTGACTCTTTGGGCTTAAATTATAAAAAATACATGAAATAAGTTAAACTACAGAAAACGTTCTGGTACATCATTCCTGAAGTGGAAAGTTTTGTTAATGTGCAAAAAAAAGAAAAAAAACAGGAATTTCTGTTATTTAAATGTTTATTTATTACTTTGGTGTTGTATGAAAGACTGTGGGGGAGGTCTCCATCAGTAGGAAATGCTGTACAATTTATGAGAATACAATTAAAAGGAAAATATTTTCACATTTTTCAAAGATGTCCAGTGGGCCGGTTTGGAGTCTCTGCCCCCCCCCGGCCTTATATTCGACACCCCTGGTTTTTTAAAAAAGCTACATTAACTAATATCCCACAGTGTTGTCTTTGCATTTGATAGAACCCATCTGTTCTATCAAATGCTGTTAACTACATCAATATTTCATATATTTCATAGACTGTCCTTTTCTTTGATTGGAAGCAGGATAGTCGTGTGGTGGTGACAAAGCCATTCAGTGGCGGTTCACCAGCTGGGAAGGGACAGCAGGAAGCCGGACCTGACAGAGGGGGAGAGGCTCCTCCACAGACTGCTGGCCGAGGACACAGGAAGCAACTAACGGTCACCATGGCTGGCAAAAAGGTAAATTAACTACAAGGAAAAAGTGACAAGGACCCAGTACAGGAGAGCCAAAACCCCATTAGCTTAAAGTCTAGTTATATTGTAACAAGGAAGAATGCCACAAAATGTTTTTATAAAGATCTGTAATTTAAGAATTACAAATATTTCTGGTAGTTTTTTTTTCTTTCCATGAGCTCTTCTTGCATAGGCAAGAATGTGCATCCAAAAGAGTGTTGGCGCATTCAAAAGACTCTACTCTGTAAACCATGGGATGGCTGTGTGGGAAAATCTCAATGGACTTATTGAACAATGAGGTGGAACCATTTCATAGCAGGATGAAATAGATCTCTTAGAACAGCTTTCTAAAGATGTCCCTTAGAAGTCTTGGAGCCACACCGGGCCAGCAAATCAAAATATAACACAACAAAGCAACTGGATCTCCATCCATCCATCCATACATACATACTAGGGGTGCAACGATACACAAAATTCACAGTTCGGTTCGATACTTTGGTGTCACGGTTCGATATTTTTTCGATACAAAAAAATGTTCATGCTTTTTTAATTTGTCATTTATTAAAATTATAAATATATATTTTAACTCAAACGTACAGTTTTTAAATTTAATGTTGCTGAAACAACAAAATAAAAAAAATAAATCTATCTGATCGAGAAATCGCTCATCTTTGGAAAAGAGAGTTTATTACAGAGAAATGGCTCTTATAAAATAAAAGCTCTACTATCCGCTTCTTCTGGGCTATATTCTCAGCAGCATATTACACATATCAGGTCCCCATAAGGAGAATCCTGTGCTAACGGCTGTCTAAATGACTCGGGTAAAGTTTGTAGCATGCATGCTTGTTGTTTTTGTCTGCTTCCACTTGTCTTTGCACTAGGATGATGTCGGAGTAAATGTGCAGTCATATTCGTTGTGTTCCCACTAGTGCTGTCAGCGTTAATCTGAAATGACGTTAACGCCACAACGCGGCAAATCTCCGTTAACGAGCTACCGCGGATCGCCCCGTGCATGGGGCTGGACGGCCAACACATTAACGAGCTAACTGCGCTAACACACTAGCTCCCACCCATGTAATTGAGCACTGTGTGGCACATCCAACATACAGGGAGTGCAGAATTATTAGGCAAGTTGTATTTTTGAGGAATAATGTTATTATTGAACAACAACCATGTTCTCAATGAACCCAAAAAACTCATTAATATCAAAGCTGAATGTTTTTGGAAGTAGTTTTTAGTTTGTTTTTAGTTTGAGCTATTTTAGGGGGATATCTGTGTGTGCAGGTGACTATTACTGTGCATAATTATTAGGCAACTTAACAAAAAACAAATATATACCCATTTCAATTACTTATTTTTACCAGTGAAACCAATATAACATCTCCACATTCACAAATATACATTTCTGACATTCAAAAACAAAACAAAAACAAATCAGCGACCAATATAGCCACCTTTCTTTGCAAGGACACTCAAAAGCCTGCCATCCATGGATTCTGTCAGTGTTTTGATCTGTTCACCATCAACATTGCGTGCAGCAGCAACCACAGCCTCCCAGACACTGTTCAGAGAGGTGTACTGTTTTCCCTCCTTGTAAATCTCACATTTGATGATGGACCACAGGTTCTCAATGGGGTTCAGATCGGGTGAACAAGGAGGCCATGTCATTAGTTCTTCTTCTTTTATACCCTTTCTTGCAGCCACGCTGTGGAGTACTTGGACACGTGTGATGGAGCATTGTCCTGCATGAAAATCATGTTTTCTTGAAGGATGCAGACTTCTTCCTGTACCACTGCTTGAAGAAGGTGTCTTCCAGAAACTGGCAGTAGGACTGGGAGTTGAGCTTGACTCCATCCTCAACCCGAAAAGGCCCCACAAGCTCATCTTTGATGATACCAGCCCAAACCAGTACTCCACCTCCACCTTGCTGGCGTCTGAGTTGGACTGGAGCTCTCTGCCCTTTACCAATCCAGCCACGGGCCCATCCATCTGGCCCATCAAGACTTACTCTCATTTCATCAGTCCATAAAACCTTAGAAAAACCAGTCTTGAGATATTTCTTGGCCCAGTCTTGACGTTTCAGCTTGTGCGTCTTGTTCAGTGGTGGTCGTCTTTCAGCCTTTCTTACCTTGGCCATGTCTCTGAGTATTGCACACCTTGTGCTTTTGGGGACTCCAGTGATGTTGCAGCTCTGAAATATGGCCAAACTGGTGGCAAGTGGCATCTTGGCAGCTGCACGCTTGACTTTTCTCAGTTCATGGGCAGTTATTTTGCGCCTTGGTTTTTCCACACGCTTCTTGCGACCCTGTTGACTATTTTGAATGAAACGCTCGATTGTTCGATGATCACGCTTCAGAAGCTTTGCAATTTTGAGACTGCTGCATCCCTCTGCAAGATATCTCACTATTTTTGACTTTTCTGAGCCTGTCAAGTCCTTCTTTTGACCCATTTTGCCAAAGGAAAGGACGTTGCCTAATAATTATGCACACCTGATATAGGGTGTTGATGTCATTAGACCACACCCCTTCTCATTACAGAGATGCACAGTAGCCTATACAGCTTGGAGTAAGACAACATGCATGAAGAGGTTGATGTGGACAAAATACTCATTTGCCTAATAATTCTGCACTCCCTGTACTGTTTTACTTTAGTCCATGACGCGCTTACCTTCAGGGTCATACGTCACATGAAGACCAAAATAGTTCCAAAGGCCAGATCTGAATGAGGGTGGGGGAGGTTCAATTTGCAATGTTGCTACGAGAGCTTAACTTCTGTCTCGCTAGCTTGCCCTGCGCTCAGTGAATCTGCGGTCGACTACTCCGCCGAGGCTACACTGTCGAGCGCAGATCCACAGAGGGCTCAACACAGACAGCAGAAGGAAAGTTGATAAAATAAATTAAAAATGTTGTATTGTTCGATACATATGCATACCGAACCGAAAGCACTGTATAGAACGGTTCAATATCGATACGAGTATCGTTGCACCCCTAAGACATACATATCTAATTCAGAGTTGGTTTCTCCTTAACCTAACTCAGTGAGAGGTCAACATGCTTTAACCATGTATCCTTAGTTCACATGCTAAATTGACACAAATCTGCAGCTTGTATTTACGATGTTTATATTATTATTTAGTATAAAATAGAGATGGCACGATACCACTTTTTTATGTCCAATACCGATATCATAATTCTGGATATCTGCCGATACAGATATGAATCCGATATAGTGTATTTTTAATCAATAAAACTGTTTTTTTAATATCTTGCTGCATTTTGTATAAGTTCATACTCAAGTTTAAATAAACAAAACACTAAAGCTATTCTGTTATACTGTATGTAAAAAATGCACTGCACCCAAAATATTTCATAGTTCAGCAAAACTGATCAATCTAATAAACTTAAACCTGCTCCATCCTCCCTATTCTGGTATTTTAAAGAGTACTTAGCAGAAATATTAAGCAACCTAACTAATAGGGCTGCAAACTCCCAGCAAAAAAATAGGGAGCCCCCCCCCACCCTCCACCTCATGATGCTTAATCGACGTAATCAACTTTAATTTGATGCAGTGTGAAAAAAAATGCACAGAAATCAATTATTTTTCAAGAAATATTAAATAGATTCAACATCTTTCTTCAACAAAATTGCAGACTGCACAGATGGTTCCCAAAGGAAAAAGTAGTATAGCTTACTAGGGTATATTAGACTTAACAGTCACTATATACAGTAATGGACTTCTATTCATTTTACATCAAATTAAAACTTTGGGTGTCAGATAATTATTTATTAAAAGCTAGACATTTTAAATGAGAATAAGAAAGAGAAGTATGTCTTTGTGCCCCCTTTTCCCTGTTCATGCCCTATCGGCCCCCCTGGCTAAACTTTGCTAGATCCGCCCCTGCACAGTTACGTCAGCTGTAGAAAAAGATCCTGGAGTAGAAAGTAATATTAAATAAATTCTAACAACAGCTGATCAAGCTTAAACGTGCTGCTGTTGTTCAGCCGCTGGTTTCTTTCTGGTGCAAAGTGGGCCAAAAGCAAAGAAGAGAGACGGACTCGCGACAGAAAAGCCGATCAGCTGATCATTGATCAGCTTCATGATTGAAGTAGCAGCAGGAAGAGGCAGTCGCTCCATATATCAGTTGATAAGCTTAACATGGGAATGCTTTACAAATAGAGATGAACTTACACACTTGCTTTACTTCTCTCTGGGATCACTTCCTCGGAGATGAAATGCTGGTTTGAGGCTACAAATACACACAGCCGCTCTATCACGTGACCACACTGCTCCTACGTGCTACGGTTATGAGCCGAGTTACGCCATGTCGCAAGTTTTGTGAGGTGCTTTTTTGATATTTAATGGATCAGATTACATTTTTTATTTCTCTCCGATATCCGATCCAGTAATTTACGTCAGTATCGGACCGATACCGATACATAATATCAGATCGGTCCATCTCTAGTATAAAATAAGACATGCTGATTGGGTCATTCATTGGCTAATTAGGGCTAAAGTACAGCTGAGACTTGTAGTTAGTTTTCAATGAGATAAAAGGTAGTGATGGTGCTAAAGTTGGGGACATCACAAAAATTTGTCAAATTTTTAAAGCGTATGAATGACTTCACCAAACCCACAAACTAGTGTCTAAGTACTTGTAACTGAGAATCCTTAAATGAATGTTTCAAATTGTAGTGCAGAGCACATACTGACACTTATGTAATGCTAATAATATGAGTAACTGACTCTCCAGGGTAAGAGGGTGGTGAGTGAGAGGCCTGAGAAGAGGCCGGGCCCTGTGGACGTCAAGAGCCCCGCCGATGATGGACAGGCGAGGCGTGTGGAGTCAGCGGGGAGGGCGAAGCAGCCATCTCACATGACCAAGAGAGACTCAGCACCACAGGTCCGACTCACGCACACCGAACACTCCTGCCTGCTTCCACTCTCACTCCCTCCCCCCTCCCTTTGTTTATTCTCACATGCTGCACCGACGTGTTTTACATAGATATGAGACATGTTGTCTGGCCCATCCCCTCCATCCCTGTGATGGAGCATAATGGTTTGTTGACAGGAGGTGGACCGGGCTGTGACTGACTGGTGTGAGATTAGGAAAGGAGAGGGTGGCTAATAGAGCTGTGGGTTGAACAGATGCTCTGCATAACTAAGTTTTCAACCTTTTTGAGCTGTTTTTACACACACGCTGCAGCTCTGATCTTCTCTAGATGTCACTCGACAAAGGTACGTGTGAAAAATTCAATTCAGGCAACTTCCTCGAGTAAACCGCATGAAGAATTTCCTGTCATCTCCTGCTGTGTGTTTCACGTGTGAAAGGGAAACTGAGGAATATACCTTGACCCGAATCTCCCAAAATCATCCACAGTTAACTTTTACAAGTTACTCCGGTTTGCTTGAGATGCCATATTTAATGCAGGCAGGGACTCGTGTGCCCCTGCCATCGTCTGTGAAATGCAATGTGACCTTAGCCTCCCCTCCCACCCCCCCAGAAAGTCTGGAACAGCTGCTCTGCCTCAGTCTGAAGCCTGACGCAGACACACACACTCACAGACTGAAATAAATAAGCTGATGCACAGGCAGCTGATCCTCGCCACTGTAAACACAGACACAATCTGGTCATAGGGTGGGGGTGGGGGGGTGGGAGGGAGGGGACATGAAAGCAGGAGTTGCAGAAGTACAGGTTCAGTCTAAAATGTGCATCTCTGCTACCGATTGGCCGATACACTAAGTGCTGCTCACTGGGCGTCTGGGTTAATGTGCACTGAATCTATGGGCTGAACACATTGTTCTTTTTGCCTTTATTTCTGGCCCACTAGGTCTGTGCCCCCCCCATTTATCATGTGGACTGAATCAGCACTTGAACAGTAGCCAGGGCTCCAGTGCACCAGTCATCTGTGAATCCCAGAGACCTGGTTTACGTAACCTGTGTCATTTCACTAGGTTTATATGAGAGCAGCGGGGGAGAAAGCTGCTAAAGGGTGATACCGTAGGAGAACATACCATGGATCCATCTGGCAAGCTTTAAAAAAATATTTGCGTTGGTTCACGCTGAGGTGCACATTGCTACTGCACTGCCCTGCCTCTGAAATAATTATCTGATGGGTATGTGTGTGTGCGACAGAGCGAGAGACACCCTGGAAATAAATAATGACTCTTTGAGAGACAGGGGTGTGGCTGTGCAGCGGTGTCTCATGCAGCCTGGAGGAACCTCATGACCAGACTGCTCACGCTCACGAGAGAGAGAGTGACAGGGGTAAGGAAATGCAGTCGGACGGAGAGGAACAGAGGGGAGGGTGAGAGAGAGAGAGAGAGAGAGACACTTGGCAACCGTGCCATCTGTTTCAATCTCCCCTCATTTCTTTTTCCTGAAACTTTAAGTGGTCCACACTCCTCTGGCACGATTGTTTCCCTATTCCCACCATCCTGAAAGGGCCGATTTGATCTAATTAACATTCAACTGCCTTCTCACTCTGAAAAGGCTCATTATGCGAAGAGACAGACCTGGCAAGGTGCCAAGAAAAAGGGAGAGGAAGACGGAGTAGTGGGATGAGAGAGAAAAGAGGTACCCGGGGGTCTTTGTGTATGTGTGAGCTATACTCTCTCTGGATGTGGGCGTGTGAATGATCGTGTGGGCGTCCCAGCCCGTAGGTGTGTTACCAGCCCACTCGCTCTCCCCGGTGCCTATTGTCCCCCATCCTCCCTCAGCTGTTAGAGTGTTGCTGTTAATAGCAACATGACTCATCCTCTGTGTTCACCAGAGCGCATCATTGAAATCAGAACTACACCAGAATAGAAATTAGCACAATTCTGTACCTCTAATAAGCTGTGTTTGATTTGCAAACCGCCAGGTGGTTTCCAAGGTCAGCTACCTGCTAACTGCAGTCTGCCCCTGTGCAGAGTGGACAGAAATTACATTATAATTGAAGCTGTTGTGCCAAGTTGTGCCATTACACTTTAAGACCACTGGGTGGCAGTCTAGACCTCTCAGTCCTTCCTAATGGATGAGTCAGTGGCCTGATTGTGACAGCAGCAAAGCGATTCTTTACAACAGTGTTTAATTAGCGAGCAACAAGTTGCTGTGTCACACTTATAACTGCTAAGCTCATCTTTTAATTTCTCCTCTCTGACAGGATGAGGTCAAACAGGGGCAGAAGCACACTGAGGAGCATCACGGGGTGTCAGAGCAATGCCAGGTAAATTAAAAAAAACCCTCATACACAGATGTAAACATTTAGATGCTGTGTGTCTAACCTCTCTCAGCTCAAAGGACTGCAGTTTCAGCTCATCGTGACCACGTAATTTGCTGATGATCAGTCAGTGAAAACAAGGTTTTCACCAACACTACGCATACAAAGCACAGAGAATAGCAAATGCAAATATGCGCTCTGTCCACATCACAAACACACGCAGACAGCACAACACGTTGCCGTGCACGTGCCCCTTTTCCTAGCGCTTCTTCCCATCTGCCTCCCGCTGGCTTGCATGTCAGCCTTGCTGCAGTAGCTCAGAGCTGTCTCACAGATCTGGTGTGCGATAAGCAGCCTGACTGGGGAGGCAGGAAGGATTGGCTTCAAAGGCACGGCGGATTCTCCACATGACAAGTGATGCTGTTCATGCCTCTCTGGCTGCTGCAGTCCTGGCCTACACAGATTTCAAGGAAATACCATGTAGATTTTTTTTTCTCATCATGTTGTAAAGTGTGTTACACTTTTGTGTAACAAATATACCATATGGACCTAAATCAGTGCAGCTTTTGGAAGCTCAACTGTCACTGAGAGTAAGATTATGATCTCAGCAACTGGCCAGGTTCACTTTGTAATATCCAACATGCCTTCTTTGGCTCCTGGCAAAAAATTAAAAAAATTTTTAATTAGCAGCTGGGGCGGCAGCAGATCATGGCCTGTTGGAACATGTGAAAACCGTCTTCCCGTGTGACCCCTGATGTCCTCTGAGGGCCAGCACAGAGCAAGGAGAGACGAGGTGGAAAACAGGATGAGGACAGATGCCATGTTCTCCAATAAGTGTAGGCAGGAGGGCAACATGTTTACTTCGATTTGATTGGCCCTCACCTGAGGGGAAAACATGACCTGTCATAGCTTCTTACCAGCACTGTGTTGCATCTCTTTTTCTCTCACGGTTTTAGCTGCTGCTTTGAGCTTCAATACAGATTTTTATGGTCATTCCTGGTACTCAGAAATCCAACAAATGTATTTTTTTTCTAGACATCAGCACGCTCTCTCAGAAACTGCTGGTCTTTTTCGTGACATCTCTAGTCTTGGTTTGCTTGAAGGCTTTATAACACAAGCAGCTTCTGCCCTTTCTGATGTGTTAATGAGCCTGTATCAGATCTCCTTTTACTATTAGCCAGCAATCCTCTCTGCTCTCATCACAGTAATCAATAAATAGGTTAAGAGGGGAATGGAGGAAGAGCTTCTAATTGTATTTGCTATAAACTGTACTTTTCCTGGAACACTGATCGGTATTTACCCAGGGAGGCAGTGGTTAGCACTTAAAGTTATGCAAAATACATCAACGTAGCAGAAATACACACATTTGTGGTTCCCACAGATCTGTATATGTATCCATTATTATAAGTTTATACACTGAAATGCTGTCTTTTGCATGCGCATAGGATATCGAGAACCTGCAGGCCATCACAGACCTCAACGTCCCCACATCGAGAGAGGAGCAGGAGGAATATTTAAGGTGGAAGAAGGAGCGTGAGCAGATTGACAGGGAGAGGGTGGCACGCCATAAAAATGCCAAGGGCCAGTGGAGACGAGCGTGGGACATGGATAAAACTGACAATATGTAAGACTTTTTAAAGAGTTAAAGGTTTACATTCATATTCCCATTGGCTGTAGCTGTTAAAGCTGAAGGACTAAAAAAGAAATAAAATAATAACATTTTAAACCAAAATATGGCAAAATATGAAGTTCAGAGATCAGTGAAATACTGTGGAGCTGATTTTCAGATGCATCTTTGTTCTAGCACACCTGAATTAAATGAATGGCTTGTTACCAGGCCTTTGCTAAACTTGATTGCTGAAGAAGTAATTCCACCATTTGATTCAGCTGTGCTGGAGTAGGGATGCATCTAAAAGCTGCAGGACAGTGGCTCTCGAGGACTGGAGTTGGAGACCCCTGATTTACAGGACGAGTAGCTGCATTTTGAACCATCTGTGACTGAAAAAGACTAGAATTGGGTAATCCTATAAATAGGGAGTTACAATAATCCAACTGGGAGGTGATTGAGTCGTGGATAACTGTTTCTATATCTGTAATTCTGTGATGGTTTAAAGCTGCTGTTCACAAAACTACTTCTTTGTTTGTTAGAGGCTGAACTATCCAGGATTTTAAGTTATAGTTTAACTATAGCGCTTGATAAGCCAAATAAAGTTTTGCTGTCATTTAGTTGAAAATGTTGCCAGGACTCCAGGATTTTAGATTGTCCAAACAATTCAACTTAATTGAATTTTATTTATATAGCACCAAATCACAACAACAAAGAGAACCCCAACAGTCAGACCACCCACTATGAGCAAATACTCGGCAACAGTGGGAAGAAAAAACTCCCTTTTAACAGGAAGAAACATTATGCTTTGTAAAGAGAGTCTAGGGGTAACATGTATAATGAAATGGAGGTCAAGTAAGCAGTACAAATTCCTTTAAAGAACAAAAAAGTCCATGTTGGGTTTGGAGGTCGAACAGTGGACTGTCACTTTTAAGAGAAGGCTTTTTCAGTACTAAGATATTTTCAGTATGCAGTACCATGCAGGCTAAAAATGGTCTTATTAGCACTAAGGCCTTTTTTTTTTTTTTTTTAAGTTATTAGTTTTGTAGATTTCCCCTTTTCACTTTTAAATTCTTCCTTCACTGAAAGGCTCACTTCACTTAGGCAGATGAAGAGGAGAAAATAACCCCGGAGAACATTGTGCCTCTTTGTAGTTAAATTATTCAGTGAAGAATCCATTAGATGAGGTTTCTGGATGTTGTGCATGTTCTAACACATGATTGCAAGGCTGATTGTCACCAAGTCACAGGACGATGTTACACAGCTAAAACATTACCAAACAGTTACTTATGTATGCCTAATATAACTTTTTTCATGTGAAGGAGTTCATGAGCTACATTTCATACAGCGTTGCAGGCTGCTGCCCGCATTGGTGGGGGAAAATCACACGATAGCACCCCAAACTGACCGCGGGAAAGAAATACAACTCGTTTATTGTGAACTGTTTGTTAGATTTCAAACAAACTGAGCTGTGGCTGTACAAAGACTGACCAAGTTGCAGAGTAAATTAATGTGCTGTTTAGGGTAGTATCCAAATGTAAAGGCACAAGGAAAGAGCAGCTATTTTTAGCTGGGGGGTTAGGGATGGAAATGCCTTGCCTTATTTGGCGAAGCATTAACAAGGCTCCCGAGAAAGAACAGAAGAGGAAATGTGTTTTTGATTCGACAATTTACGCGGTTTCAGAGGATGTCGAATGTAGGAATGGAATCTCTGCACAATCTTAAACTCTAGGCCCACAATGATATACTGAAATGTCCGTTTATGTTGTGCAGATGAGATGTTATAGTGCCTGAGGGGGGAAAAGATGAATGGTTTTGGAACATGATAGAGATATTAGTCACACTGGGTTTTGTTACTGTCTAAAACTAAACCTCTGCTTCTAGGTTTTCAGACAAATCCCTCTCTGACAGAGAATGGGGGCCTTCCAGCAGAGGTAAGACAAAAGACACAGACCTTACTGAGAACGTAAGGAGTAAGACGCTTCATAACAAATCATAAAAAAGACATATCACATTGCTGCAGGAGGAAGAAATGCTAGAAGAGGACCCAGGGCAGGCAGCGATTCAAAAGGTATTCCCCACATAATTTAGTGAACAGTTAAATCCCATAAAATACTCTTATAGTGTTTAGACTTTTAAACTTTTGGTATTTTTCTGACCTAGCTCATGACAAGCGAGGCAAAGACAAGGGAGCTAAAAACGTGCAAGTGATGAGCAGTAAAGCAAAAGGCAAAGATCGCCTGACTGGGCGGGCCAGAAGGTCAGTAACAGCTAAACACAATGGGCTGCTGGCAAAGGTGATTCAACCATCAGAGCGTTTTTCAACATAGCTTCAATTAGCGGTTACAAGAAACATCGGCATGACTAATGCAGTACGTAAAACGGATGTGGAAAGACATGCTGTTTTTCTGCACTGTGCCCTAATGTACAAATTCCCCTGGATGTCATGAGACTTAATTTAGAAGTGGTGGCAGCTGACTAAATAACCCAGAAGGTCGCATTCTGTCCCCCCCTCCACAGTTTCTCCTCTGCTGTGAAACACCACTTGATGGTGAGCAGGCCGTCTAGCCAATCTGGAGCATGCAGCCTGTTGACATCACATTTTGGGGTCATCTCAGATTGCTTAGAACCCCATCAAGTACTAAACAAATACCTGGTACTAAGTACTACACCTAATGAGAAAACCCTAAAAACCAAGCTGAGCCGATCTGAGTAGGTGCTGGTGGAAAAGGCCATATGTGCGCTGTAATGCAATCATAATGTCCAAAAAATTCCACAGCCACAGAGCTGAAATTGAGGCACTGTGTGGACTTGGAGTGAGAAAGATTATTTTATGTCTCTGTAAAAGTAGGTAAGGGTAAGGATTTGGAGGGGGGCTCTGTAAAACAGCACTTGGGTGTGAGATTCCTGTTATCAGGCTGTGCTGCTGTTACAGTTGGCAACAGATTTGAGTGTGGGCAAAGGCAGCCCACAGGCCACCAAAGCCATTTTCACACATACACTGCAGCTCTCGATGTTTCTGGATATTATCCAAATGGAGGTGCGTGTGAGAACTTTGTCTGATGTAGCTGAATTAAACATGAAACAGTGTTAAACAGTCTTTAGCTCACCAGTTCCTTAGTACAAAGTTGGTGCGATTTCCTATCGCTGATGTGAGGAAAAAAGGGAAAATGTAATAATTGGCTAAATTCACAGCTAGCAAGTGGTCATCTCGTGCTCTGCTGCATGCTCTACCCAGACAGCACCCTTACCTAAAACACACAAAATCCAGTACTGACTCTACATGTGACAAAGGGCAACTGAGGACAGTGTCCCAGCCTGAGTCTCTTGACACTGTCTGGAGTTCATGCATGAAAAGCCATTACAATCACAACAACTGAGACCGGTGTGTGTCTGTGCCTCGGAAGGCTGAGCCCCAACCTCAAATCACAGCTCTTGCTTTCCACATGTCCTTGGACAATCACCTGATATGACTCCCATTGGTCATTACCTTTCATGGTGTAGTCATTGGTTTTTGAGCAAGTATGTGACTGAGAAGCAAATGCTGTTATAACACTGAAATGGCCTGCAGCAGTCTCGTCTGACCCGTTAGGTTATACTCGTGGAATCTCTGAGGGCGACCTGTAAATAGGGCTTATTGCTGCACATCCCACAGATGCTCAGTCAGACCATTTGAAGGCTAACTGAGAGCTTTGTGCTCTTTTAATGTCAAAGAAAAAAACTAGTCCTGAACTGTTTTTGCTTTGTGGTGTGACATGTTGTCCTGCTAAGGGTGAGATGCTGTGGTGCCATTGTAGAAAGCTTGTGGGGGTGTGCTTCTTCTGCGGTAATGTTTAAGTGGACGGTATGTGGCAAAGTACCACACGAATGCCAGGACCTAAACTTTGCCAGCTGAACGTTGCATTGTGATAAAATGATCTGTGTTATTTACTCTTGTTGCTGATTGTTATATACAATATTGCAGCATGCTATAACTTGCAAAGAAAAAGAGATTCACAACACACTGCTTTTTTGTTTCTGAATACCCTTTTTTCAGATGGCAGGCAAATGATGATGGAGAGAACCTGCAGGTGAGAGGTGAAACCTCTTTTGACCCTGCTATAAAGTGAATAATAAAAGACATCCATTTAGCAAGAAACACTCCTGTTTTTCGCTTTGATCTCATCTTTTAGATGCCTGAGACGACGCTGGAGGAATTCCTTGAGGAACTTGATGCCCTCACAGACGCTAATGCAGACGAGCTGAAAGATCAGGACGCAAAAACAAAGCAGTCACCGAGCCCGGATTCACTGAGCACGCCCGAGGAAGCGAGTGAATCAGCAGCCTCGGTGTCGGCTGCTATCCTTAGAGAGGACACCCCGACTCAGGAGAAGGCAGAGGCTTCGTCCTCTCGGGGTTTGGAGAAGAAAGTGCGCTTCTCTGAGGAACTCATCCAGGGGGCTCATGCAAGGCAAACCACGGGGTCTCAAGAGTCAGAATCCAGAGGTCCCAGCTCTTTGAAAGCTTCCTCACCTAAAAAGAACAAGCATGAAATGCAGAGGCCACGTCAGCCTCTTGAAAGTGCCAAGCAGGATGATGGGAGTCTTCAGGATAAAGGAGGTGGGCCAGCTGCACCTTCTTTTGCACAGCAGCAGGGATCTGAAACTGATTGCACTAAAAAGGACAGCAGCCCACCCACAGCTCCCAGCTCCCCCCCTGCTGAAAAAGCCTGCACCCCTCTACATGAGATCCAGCCTGTGGAACTTCCTAAGTGCAACATCAGCAACACAAACACAGGTACGCCTGAACTTCAGCGAGCCTGATTTTTAAAATTTATTTATTTATTTTTCTCCTGGCTGCGTGTGTGGATGTTCCAAGTAAACTAACCGTGCTTTTGTTTTCACAGAAGAGCTGATAGACTCTGGTCTGTCTGTTCTGAGCCTGGAGTCTGGAGAAACACACCCAACACACTCCACCAGCAGTGACAAGGTCAGTGTGAGAATCAATAGATGTGCAAATGGAGGGAAGTGCAAATGGATGGGGATTTAAAAGGATGAGGAGAGCAATATATCTGCAATGCAGCTGCGTATTATCCAATTTTAATTCAGCCCCTCTGAGTCTTGATGGAGTGCAGGAGAAATAGTCTTGTGAGAATGGTTTTTCATTTCATCTTCCACCTGAACAGATAATGTATGATCGTTCATACTGAGGAGGGAATGAGAAAATACAGTAAATGTAAAATACAGAAAGTTGCAGTTGGTAATTTTTATCCTTTTCTCTCTCTCTTTTTTTGTTTGTTTTTGCAGGCACGAGAACATGGGAAAATTGTTTAACTGACGTTTTCTGGATATAAACACTGAAACCAAAACACAGCATTTGGATGCATTATTTTTGCTTCAAAGTAGCTCGTTTGCAATACTGTTTATAGCTTACAGGCAAAACTGTGGGAGCTGAATTTTTGTCTCAAATGTGACACATGAATGGTGAGACACCTTTTTCCCGCTCGATTATTATTAGTGTTTTTTTAATTTTTTTTAACATCAGAGCACTTTATGTGTACAAAAACATGTGTACTGACATCTCTTTCTGTATGGAAGTACGCTGCTTGAGTGCAATATCACTGAATGTTTACACCTTTGTATGAAAATGTTGAGGTACATATCAGGAGGCTAGCTAATCGGTTAAATTTAGATAGCCCTTGACGTTAAACCAAGCCACAGTCTAATTACTTAGTGCCTGATTCTGCCTTAGAGGTATATTTTTTTAATTTATTTAGCTTATTTAGCAGGGACGATGCACAATAAATATATTGTACCGGATATAGCTAAAAGCTACTTTTCAGCTGTAGTCCCTGAGTAACTTTTCAGTAACTGAATAAAGATTGTAATATATGACGATACATAGTTGCAGACCTCCAGTAGAGTTTTTATTTCTACATTTAAAAGTAGTAGACAAATGGATATTATTAACTGCTTCCAGCATCCATAAATAGCCTTTGGGAAGTATGAAATCAGTATATTGTTAAAACGCACATTTGAACCCTAATGTCTTTGGCCAGTGACCAAGACAGTCCAAAGTTTACAAAATGTTACTACTGACATGCTGTAAATGTTTCTGCTATTAAGAGCATTGAAAGGAGCGCGCCACTGATTTTTGATATCAAGACAGGAGCCTGATGATGTCATACTCTGGTTAAGATTATCTGAATTTGGGGATGACAGCTTTGCAGTCATGAAACCTCACAACTCTGCCCATAAGTGGCAGAAATCTACTTGATTTAAATTTGGCCTTTTTACTTATCAAGGTCGTCTCCTTGTGCAGCTCTGAGCCACATCCCCTGCGCCTGCTGTTTTTACATTGCTTTGTGGTCCGACTACTTTTCACCGGGGAAAATAGAGGAAGTATACATTTGTGTCACAGTGTGGGGGGATCAGCACTGGGGAACTGGATCTATGTCCCAGAGAGCAAAGGGCAGCCTGAAAAAGGAAAATTTACCCTGTCAGAGCCTTAAGGCAGGACATCCAGAACATGCTCGTTTCTTCTTTCTTTCACAGTCATGAGCGTTGTGCACCATGAATATGTCCCCCACACTCAGACGATCGGCACAGAGTTCTACTGTAACATCCCGAGGCGTCAGAAGTAAAACATTCAGTCCAAACCACTGGGACTTGGATCAGATGGCGCCCTGAAAATGCCTTTCTTTTTCTAAAAGCCTTAACTCAATTAAAAAAGAAAAACGAAAAGAAAAAAAGCAGCCATGCTGGAGTAGCTTGCAGCGCTGCCCAAGGAGGCCATCTAGAAGAGCCAATTTCCTCATTCTGTTTAATGCAGAACTAGGTTTAGAAAGAAATAAATGCGATCCAGTTGTAAGATGACATAACTCACTAGTGTACTCCTTTATTGTTAAAATAAAAAGCCAGCTGATGGTAAAGCATAACACATTTGGATGTTTAAATATTGATTTATAACACTGCAGAGTAGAAACCTTGCACACTATTGTTGTGTTCCCTAAAGCACAGTTTTACAGCTGAATCCCGATGATCCGGTCTTCCTCACTCTTCTTATGTTATGTTTTGGCACTTAATTTAGGATTGTAATGTACTATGTTAGCTGATTCTAAACAAACAGTGTACAAATTCTGGTCTTTGGGCCCCTGTGAGTGGGGGGAAAAAATATAATTCAAGCATTTTTTGAGTTGGGTGAATTGAGAATGCCGGGATTCAGCTAAAATTCCCTTTTGTATTATTTGTTCTGTATTATGTTTGTGAAAGAGAGCCTAATATCTTTCAAGCTTCCCTTGATTAATATCTTAGCCAGTTGTTGTGCCTTGCATATTGGCTTCTTCAGCTATTGAAGGTGTACTTTAATTTATGGTTTGTATATTAACTGCCTCATTTATTTTATTTATTTGCCTATCCATTTCGGACAGGAGAATGTTACCAAGTAAATCTCAAGCTGTGTTTCTCTGAGTCGTATTTTTTTTCTCCTTTTTAAAATTTATTGCCAGCCTTTGATGCTATTTTGGTAAGAAGCGACAGTTATATTAAGAAGTTTTTGGCTTTCGTCAATGCCACCGTGTAGTAAACAGTTATGTAACTGTAAGTGGAAAACACAGCAGACATGCTCTGAGCTGCGGTCTTGTCTGTGTCTATGGAGGTTACATAAAATCAAAAAAGCAAGAAGCGAGCCACAACGTTTGAAGCCAGTCCATCCGTTAAGAAAGAAGGGGCCTTATTTTGTATTATATGTGGATAGCAATCTATCAGTAGAAGGAAACATCTGTGTGAAAAACAGGTCACTGTTTCCCTTTGAAGTATTTTTTAAAATCTCCCTGTGAGATTTCATGTAGTGGAAGAAACACAATCATAGAGCATTTTATATTTAAGTGTTTAGTCCTTGTTCATTCAGTTTGTTTAACATCTGCACTGTCACCTTCCTTAAATGTCAAGTTTCTGAGGTGAGATGAGTTGGTTGGCGGGGAGTATGCAAGTACCCCCCACGTGTGTTCTCGCACTGTTGTAATTAGATGTGCCTGTGTATGCGTGTGTGCTGCATTTCAAGGTGTGATCCCAGCCTTTTTTGCTGCTCAGAGTACTCGCTCTAATTTGAGTCCATGTGCAACATGTCTTCATTTGCTGAACCGCTCGGAACGAAGCATACGCCACATGAATAAAGATTTTCTGTGTTTCAAAGGCTCCGGCTGGCATCGTTTTGTCACCCTGTTCACTTCACTTTACTCGTGCACCTGAGCAAACGCCCAGTAGTCAGTGAATTTGTTGCGTGCAGGTTTTTCTTTTGTTTCGTCACTCTTAACACGTTATCGGAGGACCAGTGCGATAAAGACAGAGCACGCTGCAGCACCAACGGTCCATACAGTTTGACTTCTTGCCTACAGACTCTGCTTTCATGTTTAATTTGATTAACTTCACACGGGTTCTCTGAAGAGTTGTTGCATTAGACACAGCTTTCTCTCAGCCCTGCAGGTGGGATCCCATAGGTGCTACTGTTTTAATTATCTCCTCACAAGTCTGTCTCCATGGCAGCGCTCTACCTTTGAGGCCTTTGAGCTTGTGACCTGCTGTACACTGTTTTTACTTTTTAACACAAGAGCACAAAAAATAGGTAGCTGTAACACTTCTGGATCACTTTAATGCTATAAGCTAACTAATGGTTTGAAGGGTTTGACACAATAGCGCACCAAATTGGGGGTGTTGATATTATGGAAATAAGACCTGTAGGCTGTGTTAGAGGATTGAAGTGCAGTGTGGGATTATGTCAGCAGTGCACTGCAGTGGAGAGAGGCTTACTATCCTGAGGAAAATTTTTTAAAAAAGAGATCAACATTTGGTCCAAGCAGCTTTAAAGCAAGACGATGTCGAGGCCTGTCATCCTTTTTTGGTTTGCAAAAACACCCTTCTGTTTTGGTGCTTTGGTTTGGCGTTTGCCTATGAGAAAAGAGTCGCTACTCCAGGCTGTTTCATAGAGGTAAAAGCAGTACTTCTACTAGTTCTTCTGGGCAAATACAATTACACCTAAACATCAATACTAATCTGTCAGTCAGCAACATGCTGGTATACCTGCTGCTGATTGACTCCATTCAGTTTGGCAACTTTAGTTTATGTGAAAGCTGAAATGTGGGAACAAGATTGTGGTTTGTTTGGGGTTTTTTTTTAGGAAAAGTTTGGGAAAGTTTCCTGACTGGGGTCAGTAACTTCCTGAAGTCTCAGTAAGTACTAGGTAATAAAACATAAACGCTCCTTAAAAAACACAACCTTTTGCACAAATGAATCAAACAAGATGTAATCTGTTACTTATTGACCTTTGTCTGTGGTTACAAAGGTCAGCGTCACTGAAGAATAAACTTAAACAAGCAAATTGCTCAAAATATAAAACTGTGTGAAACTGTTGTTTGTCTATAAGGCGCTCCTTTGCTTTACTGCTCGTGTCAGCAACGCCTCCTATTAGCCAAGGTTTTTAACAGTGATTTAACAGTCGGAGGCTCTCAAGGTGTTTCATTACAGCTGATGGATGTCGGTCAAGCGGAAGTGATGTCCAGTCTGGACCTGTGACCCTAACACAACCTGACACGGTGTCTGTTTCCGCTGGGTTTGTTCATCTCCCTCCAGCCCGGTCATAGTTAAGCATGTAACAACCACGCCTCGGCAGCTGCCGTGATCAAGGAGAGTGCCCTCGCCCCTCCTCTTTCTCCTGGCCTGGAAACAAGAGGCCTGGGGCGACAAGGTGCACATATGCTGTTTGTCATATTGATCTGAGGTCAGCTTAGCATCATGCAATAAATCTAGTTAAAACCCTCTGGTGTATTTGTCTTTTTTAGTCTCGTGACATTGTTTGAATCAGCTGGTGGCTTTTTACCTACACACAGCTTCATTTTCCTTTTGCATCAGCTCCTAATAGAGCCACACGTTTGCCCTTTTGTTAATGGAAGAAAGTTCTTGCTTTCTTCCTTCTCATTGTCACTACTGCAAAACAGCATCTCCTTTCTTTTGTGATGGTGTCTTGTTTAAATGCTGCGTTGATGGAGCTTTCATTCCCTAAGGTTATTCTTGGAAAGGTCTCTGCAACTAACCGGGTGCTTAACATTCACCATGCAAAAGGATGTTTGTGAGCCTTTTAAACACTAAGTACCACTCTGACATTCATCTACAGAACGTCTGATAAACCTAAATGTGTTAAAAAGATCACTTATGGTGGCAGCTTCATGTGGTCCAAGTTCAGTGTTTTAGCTAGTCTGGCCCCCCCCCTTAAACCAGCGTTTAAAGGGGGGGGGGCCCTTAAACCAGCGTTCTTTTGATTGGCCGACCTTTGTAAACAGACGTTTGAGCAATAGATGGGTGAGTTTTTGAAGATGCCTGAAATAACTAAATTAGCTATTTTCCCTCTGATTACTAATACAGGAGTTAACTAGGAAAAAACACCAGCAAAGAAACAGAGCATTTAAAGCAGTTCATGCAGGTAAAAATCTTCCTTAAGGAGAAGAAAGGAGGGAATGTGTTGAAGAAATGCTATCTTGGCCTTAAGACAACCATTCTGATGGCTAAAGATCCAAACGGGACACAAGAAAAAAAGAAATGCTATCTCGAAACAATTGCCTATCATCTGGAGTCAGTTAAGCACTCTGCTTTTTTAAAAAACAAAAAATAAATAAACCCCCAAATATTTGTGCATATCACACAGGGATGGCCCCCAAAACATGCTTGTTGCACTGATAGACTAACTCCACTGCATTGGGTTCAGTAGTTAAACTGTTTATGTGAAAGCTATTTTGGGTTCAGTAATAGAGAAAATGTAAACCCTGATTTTTAAAAAATACATTTTTAGACAGTTTTCTAGAGAAAAGGAGGACACTGTCAAACAATTTCCTTTTCTTCTTACCAATGTTTTATGCATATATTCCTCAGGCTTTTAGCAGTAATAGTAATTATATATACAGCTATATATATATATATATATATATATATAGATAGATAGATAGATAGATATATATAGATATAGATAGATAGAGATATATAAAATCTCAATGATTTAATAGCTGCAGTTTCACTTTCCTGTGGTTGTGCAAACCATTATTTGATTTCAGTCACAAGACAAATTATTCTCATATGACACTGTTATGTAACATGTGACTGATTTCACTTTAGATAATGTGATCATCTACCTTGGTGAGGGGTCGGGGGGTTCAAGAGTCATGAGGTCAGATGCTGTGTCCTGACTCAGATGTAGCTTTCCTGCAATAACTGTCACCACAGATAAACTCCTTCATCAATAGGCTACCCGCTGCTCCTTTCATATATCACAAAGCCATAAGAGGCACTGGAAACACATTTGCCAAAGTCATCCTATAAACTAAGGCCAGTGTCACTGAGTTATACACTCTGTTGTCTTCCTGTACACAAGGCTTGCTATGTGATTGTGTGTGTGTGAGTCTGCTGTCTCCCATGATGAATGGGCTTCCCATTTAGCACAGCGGCACACATACCTCAGCTTCTGGTTCTGAAACTCTGTCACATTAAGAAAACAGTGCATGTCATCACCGTTTACATCATTATAGAGGTACTGGCTGCACGGAGGAAATCAAGTGGTTTTATTTTCGGTGTGATAGTGAGTGACGCTGGTCACAGCCAGCACGGAAACCTTTCAGCCAAACAGGCCTTTTCAGAGGGAGCTGGATCAAAATAGCACCGAACGGCATTGTGTAATGTGTTCTTCTCTCTTTTGTACAATGTAACAACAGAGCTCGCAAATCAATACACCTCCCTCACATGCTGCTGAGAGAGCGCACGGGGTGGTTGGTCTTATTTCCACTTCATAGTTCACCACATGTGACTGTGTGAAGTGGTTTCAGTGAGAGCTGCAGCATACCAAAACTGTGGTAGACTGCGAGGCGAAGGCTTCTCTTTCTCTGAGAGAAGCCGACAGTCCCTCTGATCACAGGCTGGACGGTTCACTCGGGTGATTCAAAGAGCCCAAATCTGATTAAACCCCAAGAACAAAGGCTGACTCTAAACTGAGTCCTCTTTGCGCCAGCGCTGCTGTTACTTCTGTCGAACCTACGCCTTCATATCAATCAATAATTATACTTGCACTCCAAAGAGTTCATGTAAATCACTCTCTATATGAAACACAGTGTAAGATGTTAGGAAAAAACTATCATTTATTTGAATCTATAGTATCCATTATGGCTCTAAATAAATAAAATATTGGTAACATACAGGATAATGTCAGTGAATAATTTTTTAGTTACATACATCTGTTATAAAACCATAGAAATGAATCATTTTAGGATGTTTATTTGTAACCTTGTGATATTGTTCCTCCTATCATACATACTATAGCTTTAATAAAAATCATCTAATTATGCTAAAAGTTAAGTCAAGGCCCAAAGATGTATGCCTGCCTTATATGTACACAACCAAATACAGAATACATTTACATGGTTATATGCACATACCTGAGCATAACTCAATAACGTAGGTCCTTCTACTTGGTGTCCTGGGTTTAATCCATGAAAGGAGACACGGCCTATGTGTTAAAAATGCAATAATGTAGTATTGATTTAAACTGGCTGAAGAATGGCAGTGATGTTAGGAGCTGTATGCCTGCAAGACATATTTAGGTCCTGCAAAACCAAAAGCATCTCTGGAGCCTCTTTCCTATTCATTTAACAATATATATGTAACACACACAAAAGGATTCTACCATCTTACATATATATTGTTAAACGAATAGGAAAGAGTGTATATATATATATATATCAGTGTTGCACACATACAGGCAGGTTAGTGGCCTCAGAAGCTGTCCGAGGTAAAGTAGACACACACTGATTTAAGGCATACAGATGGCCTAAAACAAAAGAAAAAGGAAACGCATAGTTAAGGGGGTACAGGGTCCACGGGGGAGCTCTCCTCTTTTCTCGGTAATAAAAGCAAGATGTCTGTTAACATGTGCAGTTCAGTATCCATACGGGGCTCTGCAAATTCACTTGAAAGACGTGAGTTATCCGACCTGCGGTACTGAGGATGTAAACCACTCCTTTTTGGGGGTGGGGGGTAGCTGTTTTAAATATGGGGGGTCCTAAGGGTGGTGTGGTGATGGGGATTAGGACCGACCAGTCTCTTCCATGGCCACCTCGGCTCACCGTTCAGGTCGGAGGAAGAGTGATAGCGTCTTCGGGCT